CTTCATTGGTTTGGAGAAGTTTGCAAATGCACATCATAAATGTTTAAATTTATCCATAGACCACTGAGAAATGTTTCATAGTATTTTTAGTTATAATTAAAATAATGATAGTACTAATAGCACATACAATAAAACCAAAATTGATCTCTTGGGCTAAGGAGGATTCTGTGCTAACCTCCTTACATTGAAATGGTTCTGACACAGACGAAGCCAAGTTTTCTCCCTCACCTGTTAGAGGGAAGGGGGCCATATAGTGATGTTGAGATAGCACTGGCAAGAAGTAAAGGTGCTACTAGGCACCGGGGCTATGGACCAGCAGGGTAAAGTCACCACTTGCTACTTCAACCTTCCATTCTGGAGTGCTAGATTGAATCCTGGCTGCTCTATTTCTGCTCTAGATTCATGGTAGCACCTCTGGGAAGGCAACAGAAGGTGCCTCCAGTATTTGTGCCCTGCTACCACATGGGTGACTCAGGTGGAGTTCCTGGTCTCTAGCTTTGGCCTGGTCTCCAGCCCTGGTTTTGCAACCATTTGGGGAGTAAACCAATGGATGGAAGACATTTTTCAAATAATATGAAAATTAATACAAATTCTTAAAAGGAAAAAAACTTAAGTAGTTTGGATTAATGTATTTATGTTGACCAATTTTCTTAAAATTATTATTGTACTGTCAGGAAAACAAATGAGTAATTATGTATAAATTGTCAGGTATCTGGATTGCTAAGAAGCACAGCTACAGAATCAGGAATTTTAGTCAGAAGACAGTGATGGAGATATCTGTGGAAACTCATGCTTTTACTAAGAAAAAAATAAGAACACCTGCTTTTTCTAGTCCATTGGGATAGTTGAGAAATAACATGCAGGGGCGAGATTACCTTTGCATACGTTGTATTTCATTCTACTTAAAGGGCTTGTTGGGAAAATTTCTGATTCCTTGTTTGGGGCATAAAGGAATATGGTGGGCCTGGGAGCTCTTTCTGAGCCAGAATCAAGAATATTTTCTAAAATCTTGGGTCCTGTCAAGAGAACATGGATTCCATACTACACTTGACTCCCGCTGTCCAGTTGTCTCAGTTGAGACAATCAGACAGACAGAAAACGGTGACTACAATCAAATGAACACACACACACGCAACCTGAAAAACCAGGGGCTGTGCTTTTCAGCCTAGTGTGTGGAGCTGCTGCATGCAGAACTGGCATCCCCTGTGGGCATTGGCTGGAGTCTGGGCAGCTCCACTCCCATCCTGGATCCCTGTTAATGCCCCTGAGAGGGCAGAGGGCAGTGGCCTAAATGCTTGGTTCCCTGCACTCACATGGGAGACCAAGACGAACCCCTGGATTCCTGGCTTCTCCCTGGCACTGCTTTAGCCATTCTGGCTATTTAGGGAGTGACCTAATGGATGGAAGAGCTCTCTCTCCTCTCTATAGTTCTGTCTTTCAAATAAAATATATCTTTAAAAAAATCTGAAACGCTTAAGTTCATGTGGTACTCAGAGAGAGAAAATGAAAGCTGGAAAGGTTAGAATGAATAGCTGCTTCATCTTGCCATTCAATCCTTTTGATATTGCTGCCTTAGTACAGGGCAAATACATTAAAGAGTCAGGAAGCAGTTAAAGGCATCTTTGGACTTAAATGGATGGGAGTAACATTACTGAATACTGAGACCATCAGGTAGATAAGACTATATACAATATTCCAAATTCAACTGAATATATAAGTATTTCCATGAATCTTGTCCTAGGTATACAATAAATGCAAGACTGTCAATATGCTAAAATCTTAGTGTTTATAAATGCTCATTTATTGATATGGAGAAGCAGGGAGAAAGACCGATATCTGCCCTCAGCTCTCTAAATGGCTAGAACTGCTAGAGCTGAGTCACACTGAAGCCAAGAGCTGGAATTCAATCTTGCTCTTCCAGGAGTCCAAAAATTTGGGCCATCACCTGCTGCTGCTGCATCCGAGAGGGTCTACTTTCAGGAAGCTGGTATCCAGGTATGGCCAGGATGTGAACTGAGTCCCTCCCACACGGATGAGGGCATCCCAAGCAGGACACTCCCAAGATGACATGTAACCACTGTGCCTAACAGGACCCCAGGCTTTAACAGTTACACTGTAGATCATCTCAACTGCAAGGTTGTGACTCGGCTTGATTTTCCACAGATTCCTTGAGCTTGGATTAGAAAAAGTTTACATCTTCAACATTCTCTTCAGTTGTGAATATAGGTCACAAGCCACAGTCATAGTGCCTGATCTGTGATTTTTATCCTCAGTCGAGATCAGATATTCTTATATCATATTCCAACTGTTGCAAATATCACAACATATTGCTTATACTAATTTAAAATGTAATAAAATATCTATTATTTCAGTTTTTTATATTATTTAATCTTTAACAATTTTTTTGCTAAATACATTTCAGTGGCATATATTTCCTCTTTAATCCTAATCCTAGGCACTTTGTTTTATATATTTCACAGTTTGAGATGAGTCCATGGGCTTTTGTAGACTGCTAAGTAGGTCAATGGTATTAAGCCAAATTAAAAACCCCTAAGAAGCAAAAAGATGCTTTACAAAGGCTTGTAAAATTGGTTGGGAGCTGGAAAATGTTCATACTTGTCCAGAGGAACAGAATCCAAGTGGCCTAAATTGACACTCTTTTGTTAAAATTAAGGAACCTGCCCTGGTTTTAAAGCAGGACTGAATATTTGATACTCTGACATACAGATCTATTATCTTACATCACTCCAAATCTGAAAACACTTGTGACCCTTTTGACAAACAAAGCAAGCAGGGATACTAGAGAGCTTTTTGAGTGAACAGCTGTTAAGCCTTTCCCTTGGCTGCCATGATACAAAGCCCTCGTTATATGGTTAGGCCCCTTATAGGCAAGTGGGTCCATCTTCCAAGCTGAGCCCAGCTGCTGCATCATCCCAGTTTCAGTACCAGAACTTCCTGGAGAATCCTACAGATGATTGTGGTATCCAAGCCTTCTGAGTCACATCCATTTCTCCCATTCCATTTCCCAACAGAGGGCTAAGGCACTGTGAGCAGAGGCAAGTTCTACCCACTCATTAGGGTCTGAAATCCTGACCTACGGAACGGGGATCTGAATCTAGTGGTAGGGAAGGCATTTGGTGCAGCAGCTAGGATGCTGCTAGGGGTGCCACATTTCCTGTTGAAGTACCTGGCCTCCCTGCAAGGCAGCAGATGGTGGCTTGAGCACCGGGATCCCTGCCACTCACTTGGGAGACCCTGATAAAGTTCCTGGCTCTCAGGTTCCTTTTCTTTTTAGTCCTGGGTGTGCAGGCATGTGGAGAGTGGCCCAGTGGACGGAAGTCTCCACCTCTGCCTTTCAAATAATGAAATAGATCCTTAATAAGTTAATTAATTAAGAATGGTGGTGGTTTAATGCAACTAAATCTTAAAATGCTTCACTCTTCAACAGCAAATTACTAGAATAAAGTTGAAGATGACAAATAAATATCTCCGAGACATGAATCTTTCTTAGCAGAGAAGCAGTCAAAACAAGTGACAAGATGGCTTAGAAGTCTTGCGATTTTCATGAAATTGCAATTCAAAAAACTGTAGGACACAGAACACCTGGCCCTGACGACATGATCTTGATTCATAAGGGATTATCCAGTGGCAGCTCATTCTGCCTCCCTGGGAGCTCCACTGCTCTCTCCATCAGAGATTCACTGCTATCGCTGGCTCACGCTGTGCTCAGCAACAGCACAGCTTGTGCTTGGGTGCGGAAAGAAGGGATCACTTCAAGGAATCCTAAGGGAAGAGCCAGCCTTTTGAACACTCCGGCCACCTCTCTGGCTAGCCAGTGGTCTATCTCCGTGGTCTTCCCACGGATACCATTGGGGGTTTCTAAGACATAGGGTCCATACCTCCTTCAATAATGAGCTGCAAGGACAGCCAAACCAGTCCCAAGACCATAGAACATCTCTGCCAGACAGATACTGCGCAGCTTTCAGACTCCGTGCTTGTGGTCTGGCCACGTTAGATGTCTGCAGGATGGACTGGGTGCAGCAGGAGAGTGTGACATACAGCAATGACTTTCCTAGAAAGGTTCTGAAGCCATACAGGAGTAGATGTTTCAGCCCAGTGGGGTAAGCCACTATTTGGCACACCTGTTTTCTATACGGGAGTCCTGGGTTCCTGAGTCAGGGCTGTTCTGCAGTTCCATTGTAACTTTCTCTTAATGTGCTTGAAAGCAGAAAGCAATGGTCCCTGTCCCAGGGTTCCTGCCACCCATGTGGGAGACCTGATTGGGGTTCCTGCCTCCTGGCTTAATCCTGCCAAGGCCTGGCTATGTGATCATCAGCAGGTAGAAGGTTCTTTTCTCTTTTGCTTTTTCACTCTTTCAAATAAATAAATGAATCTTTACAAAGAGCCCTGCTAATTCAGAAAGTATTCCGGAATCAACGTATTTTGATCATGAAAATATGGCTTATTATAATTCTCAATTATGGTGAAGTAATATATATATTTCTATATTTTAATAATTTTCTATTTAGAGATATGTATTAAAAACCATGGAAATGTTCCATTTAGGTTCTAATTAGCTAACCCATTTTTTTTCATACTTGGAAATGAAAGCTCAGTTTGTTTTTCATCTAAAGATCTGTTCCATTTGGAGCAAAAACAATTCACACTCATTGGGTCAGGCACCCTCTTGTGGAACACAGCCTAGGGGACCAGGTGGGCAGCACATTGTTTGAAGTTCACTGAACAATCAGTTCAGCTATACTGAACTTCCACTGCTCTGAGGGCATTGGATACAAACACGCTTTAGGACACCTGCTTGTGGGAGATGAGGAGGGCTCTCAACAGGTGTGGATACATTTATTAGTGGGGGGTTTGATGCTGGGAACCCCCGCCCCCACCCCCCACCCCCCACCCCGAGACCGTACACCTCGACCGCTCAACGAGTGTGACAGGCAGTGAGAGCAGGTGGGGAAAACTCTCAAAGAGCTAGAACTTCATACCTGTGAGGTAGGTGTTGTGCGAGGAATTAATGAAGTAATGAGAAAGGGGTTGAGACATGTCTTCATTCAAATCCAGTTTCTCAGGTGAAACAACCCCGTTTTCTTCTCCACTCAGGTAACGCATAAATCCGTCCACAGATATCTGCCCTGGAGAAGACAAGATTTGAGGAGACTGTGAATGTATTCTTTCTGTGGGCTGCTGGCATCAGGTTGGTAGAGTTGTTGTTTGATGGTTTGGTCAGAAAACTTTCAGATTTCAAATGCAGAAGGCACTGACAATAATTATACGTTAATGTGGGCGATTCCTAGTGTAGGAACACAATGCCTACACTATGGTTATCTCAGAATGCTACAGATACAGGGAAAAAAATGCAGTTTATGAAAATTGTTTCTAATTTTTTTCATTAACAGAAACGATACTACATTAAATACTCAGATAGTTCAATCTTATATGCCCTTAAGTACTCCTTTAGGATGAATTTCTAGAGATGTAACTGCTGATTAGAATGCTAACATATTTTTAAGACTTTTAATAAAAATAACCAATATCCTAAAGTTGAAGTTCTATCAGTTGGGTCACAAATTACATATGTAAATGTTTCTATATTTCTACTTTTACTTTTTAAAAGGGCTTATTTATTTTTATTGGAAAGGGACATATACAGAAAGATCTTCCATCTACCCTCCAAATGCCCACAATGGCCATAGCTGAGCTGATCTGAAGCCTAGAGCCTCCTCCAGGTCTCCTATGCAGGTACAGGGTCCCAAACATTTGGGTCACCCCCTACTGCCCTCCCAGGCCACAAGCAGGGAGCTAGACTGTAAATGGAGCAGCTGGGACAGAAAACAGTGCCCATATGGGATCCTGTCACATTCAAGCTGAGGATTTAGCTGCTAGGCTATTGTGCCAAGCTCCTATTTTCCAACTTCTCAATGGGGTTACTACATTTACAGTTAAAACATGGTATCTGAGCCTGGCATCATGGTTCAATGACTAATCTCCTCTTGCATGCACAGGGATCCCATAAGGGTACCAGTTCATGTCCCAGCACTCCACTTCTCATCCAGCTCCCAGCTTGGGGCCTGAGAAAGCAGTAGAGAATGGTCTAAAGCCTTGGGACCCTGTACCCATGCAGGAGACCTGGAAGATGACCTTCAGATTGACTCAGCTCCAGCCATTGTGGCCACTTGGGGAGAACCACCAGACAGAAGATCTTTCCCTCTCTGTATCTCCTCTCCGTAAATCTGCCATTCTTTTTTTTTTTTTAAAAAAGCTTTATTTATTTTCATTACAAAGTCAGATATACAGACAGGAAGAGAGACAGTAAGAAAGATCTTCCATCCTATGATTCACTCCCCAAGTGCATGCAACAGCCGGTGCTATGCTGATCCGAAGCCGGGAACCAGGAACCTCTTCTGTGTCTCCCACATGGGTGCAATGTCCTAAAGCTTTGGGCCATCCTCCCTGCTTTCCCAGGCTACCAGCAGGGAGCTGGATGGGAAGTGGGGCTGCTGGGATTAGAACTGGCGCCCATATGGGATGTTGGCGTGTTCAAGGTGAGGACTTTAGCTGCTAGGCCACAGTGCCAGGCCCTAAATCTACCTTTCTTTTAAAAACAAATAAATCTTTAAAACAAAACACCGTTTCCAACTATTTGTTTAATTGGAGCATTACTTCTTCTTGAATGATAAGGAAAGGATGTGTTATATGTAAATGGAAAACATTTTAAAAGAGATTTTATTTATTTATTTGAAAAACAGAGTTACAGAAAGAGAGAAGGGGAGAGGGAGATAGGGATCCATCTGGCTGCTAGGTCACTCCTGAAATGGTCATGACAGTAGGGGCCAGGCCAGGCCAGAGCTGGGAGCAGGGAACCAGGGGCTTCTTTAGGTCTTCCTCATGGGTGACACGGGCCCAGACATGGGCCACCTGCTGCTGCTTTCCCGGGTGCATCAGCAGGAAACTGGATCAGAAGCAGCGCAGCCATAACTTGAATAGGCAACAACATGAAATTCTAGCATTGCATGGATTGGCTATAACTGGAAGAACATCAATGACGTGGTGATTTTGTTTGATTCCTGCTTTTTGATAGATTGAGTCATGTGAGATTGTTAACGTTGGGCCTTTGAACCCTACAAAATGGCAATTTCATACAACTCAGTCTCTTCAGGAAAATAGGGCGTGGTTGCACGCGTTTTTCAGAGAGCATGAAAAAAAGAAATCCAGTATGATAATCACTAGAGGGATGTGCCTACGGTGGCAGGGAAGTTGTGATTTAGTTGCCAGTTTAGTGATAATTAGGGTCAATGTAAGCTTCTTCTAAAGGCATGAAGATCACAGTAGAGCGATCAAACATTGAGTGGCTTAACACGCAGCCTCACGATGCTGGATTTGACCCTAAAGCTATAACGTTAGAACTGTTATCTTGCGGGAATAAGTGCCTGTTTCTCTGATCAGAAACTTTTGAAAGCAATTAAAGCAAAACATACATCAAAAGGGCAAGGATGACAAATCCATTTTAATTTTAAGATAATTTCCAATTCATTGTTAGTGATTTTGGGGCACTGGAGCAGAGAGAGACTCATGTTAGTGATTAACTTCTATCATAGGAGCAGGCCAGAAACACGAGGGCATACGAGTCATGTAGTTGTCATGCTCTCGTGGAAATACTGCAGTTCAGGCCACAATACCATTTGCAACATTTCAAAGATGATGTCAAAGTTTTATGTAACTCATTAAGTGATTAAATCAGCAAGATGATAAAGTACTTGGGAGGCTGTAAGACACTGGTATAATCATATGTGCATATTTATTCTTTTTGATGAACAGTGTTAAATTAGATGCAAAGTCAATATTCTACATGCCATTTAAGCCACAATATTCCGAGTCCTTTTCTCTGCCCTGGCTATCTTTAGGGAATTGAAAATCTTAACATCACTTTTTGCAGATTAAAACCATTACAAAGATGAGTTAGGTTCCTTAGTGTATCATTGAGAAACACATGATATTGAATCCTCAAGGAAGGAAACTGCCAAACTTTGTCTGACACAAGGAGGGGGTCGGGGAGGGAGCGCAGATGACTGCAGAATTCCAGAGCCTCACTTTCCCACCCAAGGGGCAAATGCTCAAGAGTTCTGATGCACCAAATGACCAGGCAGAGATACCTCAAAGTCCAAGGAAAACAAGAAACAAGTGAGACTTCAGTGCAGTCAGCTTGCAACTCATGTATGAACTGAGGGGGTCAGGAGTTAGTCTGCAATTAAGGGGTCAGCAGGATCATGCAGATGTTTTGGCAGAATAAATTAGTTTCAAAAAGCAGTTCCTACTAGTAAACTCTTGGGGACACAGAACAGCCTCTCAGAGGACTTATCTCCTTTCCATATATCTTATATCTGGAATATTGCTGTATTATCAACTTAAATGCACCAATTTTTAAATTAACCTTGCATTTTGTAAAATTGCTTTACATAAGGTGGGGTGTGTGTGAGAGAGTGTGTATAACCCCTGAGGAGCACAGAAGAATGAAACCCTTGGAAAACTGAGGTAGGAGAACACACAGCTTTTCCTAAAGTAGCACCAGCAACAGCACAAAACAATTAACTTCAATTCTTGCTAGCAACAACTGGCAAAGGACAAATTCCTTGGCCACAGACAAACTGCAATCACCCTTTTGTCTCCTCTAGTTGTAAAATCCTATCAATTCCAGCAGGCTGAAGTATTACAGATAATCACAAGCTCAATTAAGATAAATTATCCCCTAATAGAATGAGATTATAAAGCATCAAAGCACAGTACAAAGCAATACTACCATTTTGTGGAGAAAAGCCAACAGGAAGAAAAAGGAAGCGCAGAAGAATAAGGTAAGCTAACAAGGCTAAAGCTAAAGTCTCATATATTTTAATACAAGACGGATATGCTTTATGTTAGATGTGTCACAAACATAATGTCACCTGTAAGTACACAAACAGACTGAAGCACTTCTATGCAAAGCGAGGGCCAATGTAAATCCTTCAAGAAATGGAAAGAGCACTGGTCTGTGATTCATTTCCAAAGGGGATCTGGTAGTCAATGAAAAGGAGACTGTGTCGTACAAGAGGAAAGATCTGACCTTAATTGGAAGGAATCATCTTCACAGAGACATAAGAGGAAATGTTCATGACAAATGGATGGTTCTCTGTGGCCAATTCCATCTGTTGTCATTCTTTGGCATTATCTTTGTGATAAAACTCGCAGTTGTCATAGGGCTTTGCACAAATGCCATGTCTATTCACTGCGCTTGCTTGTTCTGGCTCTCTCCTTCCCTTGGGCAAGACAACTGCTGAGGCTCTACAGATGGGCTCTTAAAAATGCTAGAAGACATACATTCAAAATTCTGCCTTCCAGATGTAGTTAAACTTATACTTCAAGATCTTAGAGTGGACACAAAGACATGTTGCTAGAAGTCACAGTGCTTAAAAGTATCCACAAATATCCTTGAATATTTACTGGGGTAGGGTTACCCTGATGCCATCTGTAGACCTGGGGCCAATCCCACTAATTTTGATGAGAAGTAAGAAATAAAGAGAAATCTTTGCCCAGAAAGTTCTGGAAAATAGACCTGATAAATGTTCTACAACTTCTTGAAATGCTTCTTCCAATTTTTAGGGTCCTGATCACGTTATCTACTCACTTTTAAAAACCTGTTTCCAACAGAATTTTCTTGACTGACCTTCCTAGTCCAGAGATGTGGGAAAAAATGCTTTCAGCTTAAGTCTCTTCAGGAAAACCAAGATGCCGTGGATTTACCCTGGAGCTGGGAGTTCCTTGCAAGCGATCATCGGTGAACAAATTTTATCAAGAGCCAAGTTCATTTCCACTGGGTTGAAAGTAATCATGCATGTGTCCAGTACAGCCTTGACCTTCAAGAACTCAAGAACAGTGTGTGAAATTCCTACTTGATCTCTTTTCATGATTGGTTCGGACTCCTCTTACCTTTGCTTAGCTCTGGTAGAGTGCCCTATTAAATCAACAATAAATACTATACTGGAAATAAGTCCATACGCCTTCACCTTCTACCCAGAAGCAGCTCATGAACATGACTTTCAATAATACCTTTAATGAAAACATCGAATCCAAGGGGTGGGGAGGGAAGAAAGCTGTGGATGTT